AAAAAATAAATAAATAAAATCTGTTTTAAAAGTACCTATTACTATATGTGAATGTACAATTATCTCAAAATAAAAAAGTTATGTAGATAGACTCAAGGCTAGGATTCAGTATACACCTATGTTCCAGCTTTTGCTGTTTCAAGCTGTATAAACTTGGATAAGCCTCTTGACCTCACCATAGCTCTAAATTTCTATTCCAGCCCTTTGGAAACTTGACTTGCTTACCTGGGAAAATGTTTCTCTGTTGAATGACAGAGGAGCAGCAATTGGGCTCAACCTTTGTGACTTGGAAAGGACAGGATGGGAGGCAGAAAACTAGATGCCTGGGAGCCACTAGATCAAGAACTGGCAACTCATGACAAATCGAATAAGGCGAAAATTTCTGGGGTAGGGGCCTGGGGGTGTTGTGTCTGCATATATTATGTTCTGGGGAATAAGGGGGATTACAAATCCCATTGAATGGAAGCACCAGCAGTGCACTGCCACCGTTGCTTGTGCTTGGGCAGAAAAAGAAAAAGAGTGAGTTGGCGGCAAGTGTCCAACATAGCTGTGGCTACCCATAGGCTATCTCTGCTATTCAGAACCTCAGTTCCTGGCCCTGTATCAGCTCCTAGAAAGGCTGCTATGGTTTGATAGTAAGGGTGCAGTCTCTGGAATCGTACAGACGTGAATTCAAATCCCAGCTTGCCAATTATGAATTGTGTTCCTTAGGCTAATTCTTACTTCACTTCTCAGAGCCTCAGTTTCCCAGTCTACAAAATACTGCCGTTGATACTTACTTTGGAGTTGTGAGATTTCAAAATACCTTAGGTAAATAGGTGACGCAACTGATGCTTAGTCGGATGAACGGCATATTATCTCATTGAAGACCAGTGTCTTCAGGAGGTAGCAGTGAAGTCTGGGCTGCTCTGATTCTCTGATCACCCCACCCCCTCCAAATGCCTTGAATCCCACCCTGTTCCTTCCTCAATTTCAGGCCCCCAGAAATGTTGGGCAAGGAGCCCCCCACACCAGTGGGAAAGACTGACCAGGTGAAATATCTGAATAAGCAGGATTTTTACATACCAGACACACAGGACCAGAGCAGGTAGCTCAGGCAGCAGCTGATGAACAAAAGGCTTTTCTCTGTTCCCAATAAATTGGTCCTTGGGGATCTGGGCTTTGAAATTCTAATTGACACGGGGAGGAAAAGATTCATTAGGCTTTGGACTCATTAAAATGCTCTGCTGCTCACCTACGATTTCTTCTTGGCACTTCATCAGGAGGAATTAAGTAAACCAGTAGGCTGGGAGGCTGCTGACAGCCAAGTCTGATGTGCCTGGTGCTGCTCGTAGGGTGGGGATGTTGGGATTCCCATACTGTGGAGCACACAGCTGGCGTCAGGAGCTCCTCACCCCTATGATTTACCATGAGTCCAAGTCTCATACACTGGCAGTGCTGAAAGGACCTTTTGAGGTCATTCATAGGTGATAACTCATTCATAGATAGCCCAAATGGCTGGGGTTTGCCCAGGATCTCCAGGCACAGTAGTGGTATTACTACTACTGTGGTATAACTACTAGGCCTGACTGATTCTAAGTAGCATTAGAATCAGTCAGGCCTCCTGACTTTGATGCCAGGAATATTTTCCTCTGCATCACCTTTGGATTTCTAGATCTAGCATTTCATTCAGCCTTTAGTAGATACTTTTGACACATTCTGCATGCCAGGATTCTGTGATAAATAAAACAGATAGAAGGGGACCCCCAGTATTAGGAGAGATTAGAAAGGCCTGAGAGGTGAATAGGAATTACTAGGTCAGCAAAGAGGCTGATGAGCAGTAAGGGACCAGCACCTACAAAGACCCAGAGACTCTACAGGAATGGAAAATTGAGTCTTGGTGGAGTGGAGGAATTGTGGAAGAGATGAGAAGTTAAGTCAATCTGTGAGGTGTGATCCACGTTCTCTGGATATAAGAACCCTAGACCTGGGATTAGGATTCATCTGGGTTCTAGATGTGTTTCTGCTACCGATATGTTTGTCATCATTCAGATAACATTTATTTTATCTGTCAGTTTAATGAGGCAAACAAACTAATAAACAGCTACTATAATAAATCAAAGGAATCTCTGCTGAAGGAAGTCAAGAGTTAAGCTGTATGTTACTGTCAGTATCTTCTCTTGAGCTTTGATGATCCCACCTGTCAAATGGTGCTAACTATTGTCCTGTGTAGCTCATGAGCTGATGGGAAGAGAACTTTGTAATGACTGGTATTTGTGAGGCATTTTGTGGATTACAAAACACTTTTCCATCATCAGTTAATTGAATCTTATCTATAATTGTAAGACTTAGGAAATTTCCCAATTCACAGATGTGGAAACCGAGAATCATAAAGGTTGAGGCTTATTCATAGTTTTTACAGCTTTTGATTAATAAGTTAGGACTGTAAATCTAAATCCTGTGCTCTGTTTTTCAGTACAGTAGTTCAAACAAACTTTGAAAAGAAGACAGATGACAACCTTTCTTTTCCCCACTTGAGTGACAAATTTCTTTCTGCCCTCACTAGAAATGCAAAGAATATTTCCAGTGTGAGAAAAGGAGACCTAGCTGGCTGCAGGGAAAGGAAGGGAGCTTATTTTGTCTTCCCCAGACTGGGCTCTGAACTTTTAAGACCATGTGTCCCAGTGCTCCATCAGCTCCTGGCCATTGCATTTCATGCCATTTACAGAGTGCTGTCTCAACCATTATCTCATTGACTACACATAGCAGCTTGTGGGATAGACAGAACCTGCTTTACAGATAGGTAAACTGAGATCCACAGATGGTAAGTAATTTTCCCAGAGTGCCAGAATCCAGGGATCCTGACGCTAAACAGATGCTAAGTCATAGAATATAGGCTCCTTTGATTCAGTTTACTTTGGACAATTCTTGAATATACCCTGTGAGGCAGAGACTTTGCTGTATAAGAGAGGCTCTGGTGCAGTGCCTTCCTTAAGAGCAAGGACTCTTGTTATTTATTTCTCTGTCACCAGCCAGGGCCTGGTTCCAAAAATGTTTTGCCGTTGTTTTTGGTCTCAGTCTGCCAGAAGCTGAAGAGAGCAGATGGCCACAGCAATGTCGATCATGAGGGTGTGATTCCAGGCAGGGCTAAAGGATGAGTTGAAAGCCCTAGACTCATATATTACTGCCTAGTCCCCTGCCAAGGTATTTTTCATCCCAGAGCAAAGTGAAGCTGGCCCAACCTACTCCCATCTCCCATCACCTCCCTCTACTCCCCCCCGCCGCCCGCCCGCTTTCTCTCCCCGCCCCCCGCCCCCCGCCCCCCCCCATTCCCTTGCACGTTGGCATTGGTCTCTGGATAGTTTTTTTTTCCCTCCTGGATAGATTTTATACAAAGGACTCTGGGACTTGCTGTCCCAAGGCGTGTTCCAAGATGAGGTTCAGAAATCTACCCCACAGCCAGTCTGGCCTCTCATCTGTCTGAGGCCTCCCACTTGGCTCCTGCCCACTCTTCTGCTTTTACTCTGGACTCCCAAAGCAGATTGGTTGTTTAATGTGACTGACAGCCTAAAGAGTAATCAGTATTGATACTGAGAAACTCATATGTTTCCTGTTTATCCAAAATCCTAACTGGAAAATTTTAAGCAGCACTATATGAGAGGGGAGTTGGGGGAGAGCGACTGGGATAAAGACAGTTAACTTCCATGATGGGAAGCCTGCAAGAACCTCAAGTACCTTATAAACTAAGAAAGGAAATATCAACATTTATTCACAGGGTTTCAAATGCCCCTCATATTCACATCTTTATACATTACAGAGCTCTTCCATACCTTTTATTGCCTTTGAATCTTAGAGCAACAATGTGAGGGAAGCAGTGTGAGAATTACTCTTCACACTTGGCATTTGAGACCAGGGAAGGTTTATTATGGTGGCAGAGCCCCAAGCAGAACCAAGATTTGGAAAATAAGTAGTCCTGAGTTTGAAATCTGGTGCTCACCATTTTTTAGCTGCATAACCTTGGGCAAGTTACTTAGCCTAAGCCTCAGTTTTCTTCTGTATAATAGGAGGATAACAATATTCTTATGGCTGTCTAAGGACTGATACAATGTAGGGAAAATGCTGGCACAGTATAGAGAAACAACTATTAGGAGCTTAGTAACTGTAGGTTTTCCCCTTAGTGTTAGAAGTGTCATATATCCTGAGTTTTTGAAAATTACTATTCTCACTACAGTAAAACGAACTACATGTAATAAATTCCTGTTGGCCAGAGTATCATTTAAGTGCTTCACTGGGTTAAGAGAACTCGATCAGTGGGAAGCAGGGGTGCTCCAGGCACTAGCTAAGTACTTCTGATACAAATCACAGTGGGTTTGAGTTGATAGGGACCCTAGAGATCTGTTCCAGTGTGTCTTCATCAGAAGAGATGTTAATAATCTGGGAAAAGTCAGATTGAATAATGCAGAGTACATTCCTTTATTACTGACTTCTTAGAGCCTTTAGTGTTCATGTGATTCTGGGAGGGAAAAGGGAGTATACCAAGTTCCTGTCTTTATTTGACCTTGAAGCCTCTTTTCTGAGGAACACTTGATGAATGTCTTGAGGAGCATTTGTCTTCTGTAGAAGAGTTCATGCAACACTGATCTGGTCCAGTTTCTCCATTTTCTTTTTTTATTTTTATTTTAAAATCATGTTTATTCTATTACAGTTGTCTCAGTTTTCCCCCCTTTGCCCTCCTCCACCCATCCGGCCCTGCCCCCCTCACCCACAGTCGATTCCCACTCTGTTGTCCATGTCATGGGTCATTCATACATGTTCTTTGTTTAGTCCCTTCTTCTTTCCACCATTGTCCTTCCCCATCGCCTCCGGTCTCTTTCAACTTGCTCCATGTTTCCTTGCCTGTGGATTATTTTGTTCGTTAGTTTATTTAGTTGAATAGTTTCCACTTATAGGTGAGATCATATGGTATTTGTCTTTAATCGACTGGTTTATTTCACTTAGCTTAATATTCTCCAGTTCCATCCAAAAATACGGAACACTTCACAAATTTGCATGTCATCCTTGCACAGGAACCATGCTAATCTTCTGTATTGTTCCAATTTTAGTATATGATGTACTACCGAAGCAAGCATCAGTTTCTCCATTTTCTGTAAGCAATTTTATTATAGAGGCAGTGCACAGTAGAACCAAGCCTGAAGTTCAGGGTGCATCACTCTCTCTTGGGCCACAGCATTATTTGCACTCCACCATTCTTCCATTTCGAGCCAGCACATTGTAAAATTACAGAGCATTCTGCAAACCACTAATCAGAGCATTGTTAAGAGAGTCAAGCTTTCTGTTTTGATATGTTTATCCCAGAAAACAGGAAAATGAGGAAAAAACAGACTTAATGGCCACCAAATGTTTCCAAACAATTGAAGGACCAGGGGTTGGGTAATTAGCTCAGTGTCTGGAAAGGTGCCACTAACCCACGCAATTTTAAGTCTGTTCGCATTTAAGTCGTTTAAGAAGTTTCAGTTGCATCCACAGGCTCATATAAGAGACCTACAGTGCAGTTCCCTGTCATGAACACTCTGACACCAGTAACTATGGGAACGATCCTGAAAGGGTCTGAGGGGAATGTGTCAACTTCTGCTCCTCCATCACCATCTTCCATCATTGAATTCAGTGGGTAAAAATATGCTACAGGATTTCTATTTAGACCCTGGCAGAGGGAGTTGTCTTTGGCATTTGGTGAAGGCCAGCCTTGAATTTTACTAAGTCTTCTGGGTCAGATCTAGTAAAAATATTACCTTTACATTTGCAAAGTTTTATAGTGGAATTTGTTTTTCAAGAATACAGAAGTATTTTTATTTTCTCATTTAATGAAACAAAACAAATGCTGACAACGTATTCATGTATAACTTTTTCTCACGTTTACAACTGAACAGATTGGAACTGCTTTAATTGCTATGCGGAGCATACTGTATTAGTATTTAAAAAGTTTATTCCAACCCATTTCTTCTTTTATAATCTAAAACATCTTTATTATGTTGTTTGATGAGAGATCCATAAGAAGACTGGGCCCAAGGTCAATCCAGCTTTCAGCTAGTCAGGTTTGCCATATAGCAGCTCCCGAACAAAACACATCTGATACTTAAAACAGTCCTGTGACATAGAGTTTATCTTCCATGAGTCATAAGAGGACACTAAGCCTCAGAGTAGGTGTGACATATCGAGTGTCTGACAGCAAATTAGCGATACGTTCATCGTTGTATTACAGGTGCCTAGTGTAAGCCTGACATAGTAGATCTTCAAGAAAATATTTATCAGTTGAATAATTAGTACATTCTCAGGAATGAACATCAGGTCTTCTAACTCTTTATCCAGTGTTCTTTCCATTAAGCTAGCCTGGTGGGGCCCAGTGGTTGGGCTTATCTCAGGGTCACCAGATAATTCAGAGAGGGAACGCTGGGTCTCCCTTGCTTTTTGATTACTGACAAGGCTGGTGGTTTCTAGCCTTTGTTGCTCTCTGCTTGGTAAGGACGTCGTACATCTTCCCCACCACAGAAAGCCCAGGTTCAGCAGTTTCTGGACTGCAGATTCAACCTCTTTGAGCCTCTCTGCTCCCTATAGTCTGTTCAACAAAGTCACCAGTGTTTGTTCCCCAGCCCAGCTTCTCACTCTGTCCCTCATTTGTTTTCCCTCTCATTACTATCTTGCCTGTCCTTCAGTCCTGCTAATGGGTAAGGAACTTGGGCTCACCTCATAAATACTAGTTATACAGTTCACTTTTAAGGAGTTGGCATGTCAGGAACACCAAGAAACGATTTACAGAAACAGTCCCACCTGGGATTCTTTTCTCTGTTAGCTGAAATTCACTGAGCATCTACTGGTTGCTAGGGCAGTGTTGGTGGGTGGGATTGCAGAAATTAATAAAAGAACCTCTGCCTTCAAGGAGTTCAGAGTCTAACACAGAGAGACACATGTGTGAATTTGAATGTTTAGCAAATAAATGCTTCAGCAGAGGTCTGTAAAGGATATCGGGGTCCATAGGGGCGGGAATGACTGGATCAGATGTTGCTGGAGAGTTTTTATCAAGGCAACATATCAGTGGACTTGTGCTTAAGAAACCTGCCCCCGCCCCCCCCCCGCCCCCTCCGCCCTCGCCTCCATCACTAAATCAGAAATTGGTTCTGGCTCTTCTTTATCGATGCAAGAAATCTCTGTCTTAAATTTACTCACTGGTAAGAGTGTTGTGATATTTGGAGCAATCTATTGAATGGGGCCAGTACATTTAGAAAATTCCTGGATGCTCAGCTTGTTGGTACATTACCCCATTGAATTCTCACAACAACCTTTTGGGAAAGGTACTATAATATTATTCCCATTTTGCAAATGAGAAAAACTAAAGCACATGTAGGTTAAGTCATTTAGCCAGGATCATACTGATACATGGCAGAGCTGGAATTTGAATCTGGGCAGTCTGACTCCAGAGTCAGTCTCCTAAAAGGGCCTCAGAAAGGGCCATTGTGACCTTAATACAGTTCTTAGCTCAAAGAGTTGTAAGAGTGAAAAGTAATATACTTACCATGTAGTCAATTAATAAATCATAATGTTCATTTATGTTATAAATCAGCCTTTTCTAAAGGCTGAGGTGTACTGGGCCCTTGCAAAGATGCCTCCTTTCATTCTCTCCTGGCTTTGTTATCTCTACAGGCTGCTGCTTTGTTTCTTAAACAGAATGGATGGGGCAGGGGACAGGGGCAGTGGGACATGGTGTTCAGCAGATACTCCCTGAGCTCCTACCCTGGGCCAGGACCTATTTTGAAAAGCGGGGTTTAATGCCAAGATGAAATAGATTGTGATCCCTGCCACCCAGGAATGCACGGTCAGCCTGGGAAGGGAGATGACACAGAAACAAATCATTTTAATACAGTCCCCTCAGATGGATCTCAAGCAGCACATCAAACTCCACTGCCCACAGCTCATACCACAAGTAGATGGGCAAGAATGACTTGCTTTTATATTAATTGTTGAAGTAATCATCCTATTAATATCCTTGTCAGCATTAAAGCAGCTGTTACTACTGTAGAAAGTAGTAATACCTTAGAGAAGGTCAGCAGCTACTCAGAGGAGATTTTTAATACCTGTTTCATTTTTATGGAGGGAGGTGGTGGTGTTCCTAAACTGCCGGTAGGGCTAGCAGGACCTTGGCTTGAGGAACACATTATGGGGAAGGATTTATATGAAACATAGGTTTTGGTTTTCCTGAGATCTCTACCACTAGACTGTGAACTCCTCTGGGGTAGGATTGTACTTTGTTCATTTCTATACTTTGTACAGTCATTTTGGCATTAATAGGTACTAAGATTATGTTTGGATGAGTGAATAAAGTTTTCAGCGTATTATTCTTCTAAATAACTTCTTTGTGGCATTCAAAACTCTGTAGATTCAAAAAAATTTAGTAAACACAGGATACCATAATTTTCACATATACATGAAAACACAACGAGGATTTGCTTTCCCCCTGCTAATTAACATCCCTACCCCCACCCAATACGATAATACATGATTCTGGTGAGGTTGCCATGAAAGTGGCATTCATTGGTGATAGCAGTGTAAACTGGTACAGCACTTTTGAAAAGCAATTACGCAGTGTAGCTCAAGAACCATAAAAATGTTTATACATTTGGACACAATAGTTTCACTTCAGGGAATCCGTCCTAAGGAAATAATCCAATATTTAGAATAAACTTTCCCTCAGATGCTATTATTTGTGATAGTGAGACATTGGAAGCAGCCTAAATGACCACCTAAACTTACGACCAGTGTCTAAGCAGATCCCTGAAAGGAAGGGTTCACCTGAGCCCTACAGTGCCCTATCCCCATGCGTGCCACATACAGACTAGTCCAAGAAAGGTGGGGTCAAATTAATACTTTGGAGTCTGATGCCCAGCTGTTCAGGAACAACCCAGCTCATACTGACTTGCTCATTGTGTGACCTTGGGCAACTGACTTTACCTCTCGGTACCCGGGTTTACTCACCTGCGAAGTGTTTGACTTACATTACAATCCCTCAGAGGATTGTTGTGTATGGATTTGGTTGTCTTAACTCATGAATAACTCATGAAGGGATTTGAAAGCCACATTAAAGGAACTGGTCTTCATTCTTGATGGCAGGAAGCTGCTAGTGGGTCTTAAACAGGAGACGAAAGGGACACAGTTACTCAGTCACTCAAGAGGCAGATGCTTAGTAATGTTTGAGTTAATGTTACCAGAGGGACAAAGGCAGAGTGGCTGTAACTCTGGTGTTATTCTTGGTTCCTTTTGGGCCAAACATAAGCTACTGTTGGATGATGCTTAGAGCTGAGCCCCAAGTTATGTTTAGACTCAAATTCTGGAGAGAGGTCAGCTTCTTCCCTTCTCTTGTTGAATGTGGGAAATTAAATATATATCATACTCATATATATGCCAGTGTGTATGCTGTCTGCAGGAATGAGCCTTTGTAGGGGTGTGAGGGGTGTCATTTGGTGCTTTCAAGGAGAAGGATTGTTGTAATGAGGAAAATACAGATTTCACATGAATGGATTTTAATCAACTGCCCTTACACCTGAGGGGAACAGTGCTTGGCTGCAGTGCCGAGCTGTATGCTTTCCACCCCCTGCTTCCAGCCGACTGGCTCCTTGCCCCGGTGCCTCTGTCTAGGAAGGTCTGCAGCAGCTATCCATCCTGGGGAATATTGCTGTTGGCATTTATGTAGCACATCCAGGTAACAGTGCACTTCCATCTGTTATCTCCTTTGACCCTCACAACAACCTGCACTGCAAGTGGGCAGGGCAGGGATTTTTATCCCCGTTTTACAGACGGGGAACCTGGAACCTCAGAGAAATGAAATGCCTAAGTTCACACAGCTAGTAGATCTGGGGCCCAGGGCTCCACAGGTAAGCAGGAATCCAAAGCTAATAATACCCTAGCACTACTTTTACTTCTGGTGAGGCCTGTCATGGGAGGGATTAGGCCTCGCTCTCTGTTCCTCAGACAGTCCCTTGCTCTCTGTAATATAGGCTGGAAGATGGGGACACGTGCACTACCTTGGCACAGCCTTCTGCAGCCTTATTCAGAATAGAGTAGCCACAGAATGGAGGTTCCAT